TACAATCAAATGTGAGAAATTGTAAAGTCTGGTTTTAGTCATTACAAAAATCAACAATAACAAAGCAGTTTTATTCTTATTCATTATTTGCTTTATAATCAATGTTCAAAGTTCAGGATGTACCGTGGTCCATGAGTTTGAACAGCTAATCAAATCAAATATGGCTAACGTCATCATCATTTAGATTAATTCTTCTGATAGTTTCAAATCCATAATAATTCTTGGATACCTCTGTGAAACATTAGATGGTTCTATAATCTCAGTGCATGTCCCCTCATTAGTAGCATCCACTTTCATATTTCCAGCATCAGTAGAATCAGAATTGTCCTGGATATTGTCCACAAGTATTTCTGTTGCTGGTTATGAAGTAGTATCAACATCTAAGTTCACAGATTCTGAATGGTAACCAGCAGCTCCTGCCACATTGATGTCTCACCATGAGTTTCTGATGAAGGTAAAGTTTCATCTATCTGATCTGTCTTTGGATCAGTTATCGGTGTCTCATCAATGGCTCCAGTGTCCGACAGGTTCTCGTCTGGTAAACCAATGTGTAAGCATTGATCCAAACTAACCATCGGTACATGCTTCAACCAGGAGATTATCGATTTCCCTGCGAGGGCTTCTTTGAATCATGTAAACCACATCTGAAAGTTGGCTTATGACCAAGTAAGGCCTTTCAAGGTTTAGCTGCAAGTTGTGACTAACCCTTTTATCCTTCCTTCAACCATACATATTTTCAAGGTTGAAAACCTTGACTGTCCAAGTGTCGATCGTAGTTTTTTCTTCTGGACACGAGCACTGCCATCTGCTCTCTCGCCTAGGCATGTGCTTTCTGCAACCTCAATTTCAGATCTGTCACATAGTCTGTCTGTGTTGTGGCATCAGGATAATTACTTTCAAATATTAAGTCTATTTGCAAGCATAGCTCTCTGCCGAGCATTAACAAATTAGGAGTTTCACCTGTAGGGGAATGCACGAATAATCTATAAGCCATGCCGACATAGGTAAATACTGATTCCAGTCCTGTTGTTGTGCGAAGAGATCAAGATAAGACTTAATCGATCCAACCATAACCTTTAAATGTCTTTCTACCAAATCTTCACTTTGAGGGTAACAATGTGTAGTGTATGTCTTAGATATGTCCAACAACTGACATACTTTCTTGAAAACCGTGGATATAAAATCTTTGCCCCTATCAGAATGAATTTCTCGAGGCATACCAATCCTTGTGAACACATTATCAACAGAGCTTTAGCTTCTCATCCTGGAATGCATTCCTTGTTACACTTTAGTACCATCAGCGATTTCAAACAATCTATACAGAACACCATTCCTGTCGGGTATTGTACCAAAATACCAACATCTGCCTGCCCATTCGTCTCACCTCCATCCTTTGATTTATCTCGACATACCGTCATCACCCTTCCAGGGGCAGTACTACCAACTTCTACAACATTCTAACCAGCTGGTTCGTCTTCAGAAGTCAGTGTGTTCAATGAGGAACTTTCTTATTAGACCCATCATCTGAATTTTGATCAAATTTAGAGACACTAGTGCTAGCATGCATCTGGCCACATTGTTTACATTATTAAGTAGGTACTCAACTTAATGCATCTGCATTGTCATGACGTTTTCTCGGCCTATGGGCAATGGTGAAATCAAATTGTTGCAATAATTCATTCCAGTGAGACAGTTGACCAGGATTTTTGAATTGAATTTTGAATTTTGATTTTTGAATTTTTGAATTGCATAAACCACAATAAAGAAGCATGATCCGTCCGAAATGTGAACTTTCTTCTTAACAAATAATGATGATAGTATTTGACATAATTTACAACTACCAGAAGCTCTCTTATTGTCACACAATATCTGCACTCTGAAGCTGACAAAGCCCGGCCTGTATAACCAATAGATCGTTCTTTCCCGTTCTGTATCTGGGACAAAATACACCAATGCCACAGCCACTAGCATCGGTATCTAGTTTAAAGGTTTCATTTTCAGATTGAAATGCTAAAACAGGAGTGGATATCAAAGCATCCTTCAGACTATCAAAGGCATTTTGGCATTGCATTGTCCAATCAGAGACAACATTCTTCTTTGTCAACTCATGCAAAGAGCCTGCTGGTTCTGCGAACCCTGTGGCAAAACGTCAGTAGTATGAGGCCTGGCCTAGATGTAGGACAATGCCGTATTATCAACTTTTCAGAGTCTGTTTCAACCCCATATTCTGTGACCCAGAAATACAACAGAGGCAAACAAGCACACAGGTTTTAGTTTTAACCCTGCCTGCTGTAGCCAATTCTAACCACTTCAACTCTTCTTCAAATATTCTGGCAAATACAATAATGTCATCCAGATACAAGATTAGGATCTTCCACGACAAACTGAACTGAAACAACGTTCCATAATTCTTTCAAAGATGCTTACACCATTGGTCAAGCCAAATGGAAGCACCTTCCACTGATTGACCCAGTTTTTGTACAAAAGGCAGTGTGTAGTTAGACCTTGGCTCCAGTTCAATTTGCATATATCTTGATTGTAAATCTAAAGTAGAAAATCATTTTGATCCACGGAGTGATTCAAAGCATCGTCAGGAATTTAGTTTACGATACTCTATACACAGCCTTTGTGTCCCATCTTTCTTCTGAGCCAACTAGGGAGGACTACTAGGGAGGCCAAAGAACTGACAGACCCTTCAATTAATTCCCTATCCAAGTAATCTCTATCTCTCTCTCTGTATATTTTAATTCGGTATGGAGATTGTCATACTGGTTTTCGATGTACTACTATCTCATGTTTTATCAGAACCACCTTACCATCCTTAGCATCATAACTAAAGACACCAGAAGATTTGACCAACAAATCAACAAACTGTTGTGTCTGTGTTTTATCCAGACCCGCACTACAATCCCTGTACAGATGACTAGGCACAAGAGTCTCAATTTACCTGGAGGGAGTTAGATTTAGTAGTTCTAGAAGGTCTACTAATATAATTACTATGATTGTTTACAATGGTTTCCTTCTTATCCGTCAAGCATTCCTGCTGGAGATGGTGAGACCCTATCTGTGTAATAGCAGTCCCATCTTTAATTATGTGGTCAATGTGAGTGTATCATAATACTCCATGGATTTACAACACCATGGCACACCCCAATGTCTACCAGTAGATCGAGATGGCATATAACACGAGCAGTGTAATTTACCTCATGTTCAGGGACTACACAAGATCTCCCCATTCTCGTAACAAGATAGCGCTCAGCAAAGCCAAATTCAACTTGCTTTGGAAAACATACTTTCCTACCAACAATCAAAGCCTCACAGCCGACATGAATCTTTATCAACAACAATCCTGGATATATAAGGCTTCAGACTTACTGAGTGCTGGGAACAAAACACGGAATTACATGACACTCCTGTTCCATCACA